GTTTGGGTTATTTTAGGGTTTAATTTAGGGTTTATGATTTATTTTAGGGTTTAGGTTTAATTTGGGGTTTTGGGGTTTGGAGTTTGGGGTTTAGGGTTTAGGGTCTAAGGTTTAGGGTTTTGTGGTTCGGGTTCTGGGTTTAGGGTTTACGGGTTTTCATTATTATGTTTTGTTATGTGTAACTTGTAGATGAGTCAATCCCATTCTAGTGGTCGTGCCGGTAGCGGAGTCCGATCCCGATTACGTGGGATCAGATCATCTAGATCACCATCTGTCCATCAGGATCAGGTTGTAGTCGAGCCTCCTCGACTAGATGTACCTTTCACGGGTGCGGCTTCACCGAAATTCGTGAATGAAGGTACATCTAGTCACGGTGCATCGCCATCGTTGCCGGAGATTATAGCATCTGCAGAACGTCGTCTCCAACCTCGTCTCGATCCGGATCACTCCCCCGGTTCTATTTGGTAGGTGTTTTAATGCATATAATAAATATTTATTTTTATTTCTTTTAAATTAATGTTATGAATCTAATTTTTGCAGGTTTGATCGTAGCAATGAAGTGATTACGATCGTCGTCAGCATCTTTCAGTCGGACTTCAAAAGGACCGTGGCGGAGTCTCATCCTGTCCCTCCATCAGATCTGCAACGTTGGTTCGGGACTTTTGCGGTAAGAATTTTGTCAATTAAATGTATTTATATTTATACAAAATTATAAATTTATTTTGTTTCAGCAAGCTTATTATTGGGATGAGGCCATTCATGACCAAGTCTACGCCGCTTAGAGGCTCGTCGTCCGAAATCGCCTCAAGGACAGCATTTATCGGGTAAAGTGCAGACGCATAAGACCTCCGTGGATGTCGACGGCTATCTACGGTCAGCTCGTCGCACATTGGGATTCAGAAGAAGGAACGGAGAAGAGTCAAATCTTCTCAAGCAATCGACGATCCCGACCGGAGATCGAACGCGCACCCCGACCCACACTGCAGGACAGAGATCATTTGCCCGAGTCATCCATGAGATAGTAAGTAAAAAAAAAATTTAATTTTAAATTTGTTAAGTTTTTTCTAATTAAATTTTTTGGTTGTAGACGCAGAAGGAAGGTGAAGAACCTTCTGCGTTGCGATTGTTGCAGAAGACTCACCGTCGAGCTGACGGTACTTATATCAGCGATCGCGTTCAGAAAATCGAGGATGCGATTCAGGCAAAGATCACCGATCGTCTCTCCGAGTTAGAGGTAAATTTATATTGATGTAATTGTTTAATTAAATTATTTTGACACAACTTTCGCCAGCAGAAATCAACAGTCTCTATCTAGAGGTAAATTTATATTGATGTAATTGTTTAATTAAATTATTTTGACATATACTTTTTATTTGGCAGGTTGTCCAACCGGATGCCAAAGGATGTATCTACGGCGTGGTGGAATGGCGACTCAGTTGGGTGGTGGTCATCCAATTGCAGCATCGATCGGTCGCCATGTCGCACTGACTAAAGAGGTCGAGGCGTTGAAAAAAAATATCAAAGAGTTCGAGGAGGATCGTAGAAAAATTGCGAGACTAGAAGAAGATGAGGCACGGATTGCACGTTACGAGACGCTTTTCGCCCAGCTTTTTCCTCCTCATGATGATCCACCAACGGCGCATGAGATGCAGCATAACCCATTTCTGACTCCTCAATCCGGAGTTAGATCTGAGCCCGGAGTCGGACCTTCTACGGCACCGACGGACCAAAGAACCGGATCAGATAATCCGGATAACTATTTTGTTTAATTTGTTTTATATAAATACTTTTATTTTATTTTATGTATTAAATACTTTTTAATTTTAAATAAATATTTTTATTTTATATTTTTTTTAAATAAATGTTTTGTTTTATTTAATTAAAATAATTATTATTTATAAATAAAATTTATAAAAAAAAAATTTCAGATTGCGACGGACAGCGACCGATATTTCGGTCGCTAAATAGCGACAGAAAAAATGTGCCGCAACATCACGACAATTACATAGCCACAGATTACCGACTGTTGCTTCTGTCGCTAGTTAGCAACAAAAAAATTACGACAGATACGTCTGTCGTTGAGCGACACATTTCCGACAACCCTTATTGGTCGGTCTATGCGACCGATACCTACAGTTATATCTGTCGCAAATCTGCGACAGACCACATACACCGATTAACGACGCATTTCCGACGCAGAACTTCTGTCGCAAATTTGCGACCGACGACCTACAGAATTTTTAGTCGCAAATGTGCGACAGAATTACGACCACATTTTTCTTGCGATAACGATTTGGCGACAGAAATGATTCGGTCGTAATCGATCGCAAATTTTTTTTTGCGACAGAATTCTCTTCATGTGGTGACTTCCATTTCCGTCGCAAAATGTGTTGGGTTTTCCTGGGATCTCAAGAGCGAATCTAATTCCTAAGAGATCAGTTCTAGGGTTTGCGCAGCGGATGAAAAACAAAAATTTTGATGAAACCCTAAAACCTATCATGCATGATCTTGTAGAAATGTTAGAACGCTTACCTCAATCGATCCGGGGCCTGTATCAATCGAAGAACGCGTCTGATCACTGTAGATAGGAAGAATACCTTACCCTCTACACGTATCCACACGGCGGAAAGGATTCCAACAGTTGGAACTTGTCTGCTAGGACTGAAGAATGCTTTCTTCTTT